TAAGCACTTCTGTGGCTGGACTTTCATGTTGTCGCTCCTGTGTCTGCAACAAGTCATACCTTCGATTGTCTATGGCTACCACAATGAACAAATGCAGAGCTCCTTCTCAATATCTCTCAGACAGAAGCTTTTCTTTGGAATTTGATTTCAACTTTTTCTTCCCTAAAGAATACAAAAGGGTATAAATATTCTAGTAGGTGACATCAAAAGTCCAAGCAGACCCAGAGATGTGGTCAGTGGTGGCATGCTTGTGTAACAGAGGCCCACCCTGGGTTCTATCTGCAGCACCCAAAAGAAAAAGAAAGAATGTGAAAGTCTGTACCTCCCTGGATGCTCTTAGGGCAAGTGACTTCCCAGGGCTCATGAGGCTGCTGCCCTCTGGTGTTCACATGCAGGAGCTGGTGATCAGAGAGGGTGCCAGGCTGCCTTGCTATCAAAAAACAGGCATTCAACACCTCTCAGAGTCCCTTCAAGAAGTGACCACCCTCTGAGACCACCAGGCCAAATGCTGCTCTCCTTGAATTTTGCTGGGGACCTCGTACTTTGCGGGGAGGAGAGATTGCCAATGCTTACCAGAAACAGCTCTGGCAGAACCATTGAGCTCTCCCTAGTGCTGAGGATAAAACTTACACTCCCTGGGCACCTGCTGTGCTGCTGAATTCTGCTCCCAGTGTCCTTTTGTTGGAAGGGCTTGGCCAACAATGTACTGGCCACATTCTTTGGCTCTTGGTCATTGGTAAAACTTTTTGGGGAAACATACAGATATTATATCTCTGGGCATGATGTTTATGGTAGTTACTGTTTGCATGTGTTTGTTTAACTTATTCAAAGAATCTTCAAAATATAGACAAAGGGAAGGAAAAGAAATATGCCCCTTATAGTGGTCACACATGCCTTCTTTATACTGCTACTTACAAGTCACAGTGGTTTTGGTTTTGAGTTTTGCAGTACTGGAGATTGAGCCCAGGTCTTGCATATGCTGGGCAATTGCTCCCCCACTGAAACACGCCCCAGTGCCAAGTCACTTTTTAAAGGATGCTCCTCCATGAACATTGCCCCTTAGCTCTGTGTGCAATGGCTGGCTTTGAGCTCAGTTCTCTGTGCTTGGACTGAGGCTAAGTGAATACGAACAGGGCCACTGCTTCCCCCAAGTGTCCCACAGGCCCGGGACACCTGTCTGGCCCTTCCACACAGGGAGGAGCAGAGATCCCTCCACCCCAGGGAAATCTCACTTGCAACCCACATTGGGAAAGCACTCAAAAGTGGGGTTGCTCAGGTTCCTGCTAGACCTGGGCCTTTCACAGACATTGTGGGCAGTAATATGAGATGACTGTGCATGTCTCAGAAAATTGCTGTCTGGTAGTGGCCTCTGCAGTGTCATGGGGAGGAAGCCACTCTGTAGTGAACAGGGGTGCTGTGTTGAGGACTGAATCTGAGACTTCCTGCGTGCTAAGGAACTGCTCCTCCGTGGATCTACGACCCCTCATCCAGCTCACTGATTTTCAAGGATAGTAACCAGTAACCCCAAGCCATAGATATTTCATTGCTTTTAACTAAGTTAAGAGGCTTATGCATTTTGGATCTTTCCCCAGTTACAAACATGTATAATTATTTTGAACCAAGAAAGCATATGCATTTTTTCATGATGGCTTGAAATGTTTTTTTATTATTGACAATTTAGAAAATATTTCCTCTCTCATTCTCAGTAATACATATAGATTTTTATTGGTACATGTTAATTATAGAGTGGCTTCTTTGTAGCGTGTTTGTGCCTGCACATACATGATCTGATCAGATTCACTCCCATGACCTCCCCTTACCTTACCCTCCTTGGTCTTGCTTTCCCCCTCCCTCCAGCCCAGTGTTTTCCCTTCTGCTTTCATGAGGTGAATGGATCAAGCACATGTCGTCTATATACACAGTGGAGTTTTATTCAGCTATAAAGAAAAAGGAACTGATGCTGTTTTTGGCAACGTGGCTAGAACTGGAGAACATCATGTTAAGCAGAGTAAGCCAGACTTAGAAACTATCACGTGTTTGCTCTCCTATGTGGAAGCTAGAGGGAAAAAAAATTAGATCATATGTATTTTTTAAACTTTTAGCCTTTTCTTTTTGTCATAGAACAAAATTTTCTTTTAAAATCCTAAAGATTTTCATGTCTACACTTTGAAAAGACAAGAAACACAAAGGAGCCATGAAGATTTCCTTCATCACCTGCTTTGAGTGCCGGGGTAGTACGAAGCTTCCTGTCTTTGAGCGTCTCACGGTGAAGTGAGGCAGAGGCGAGGACCTGAATCCTGGTGATGGCATCTGACGTCTGTGGTGCTAGTGTCCCTGACTTGCTGTGACTTGAAAAAGATGCACAGGGTATTCTGGGTGCATGGTGGTCTGGGAACAGGCTGCGTGCTTGCCCTCTGCCTCAGATTCCCTGTTGGTAACATAAAACACACCTGGAAATCACTAAGCACACGGTAACTGTGAGTTCCTTCTCTTTCCTAAACAGTTCCAGGAACATATGTTCTGATGTTACCTTGAAGTCATAATTCATTCTGATATTCTTGTTCTTTGTGGTACTGAGAATGAAACCCAGGACCTCCATCCTGCTCTACCCAGGAGCTAAACTTCAGCCTCTACCTCACACTTCTATTTTTAATATAAAATTTAAAGATACATAAATACACAGAAGCTTTCATGCTCATTTTCACAAAATACATTTCAACCAAAAAAAAAAAAAGTCGATACACATTCAATTTATACAACAACAACAAAAAAAAAAACAAAAACAAATTGAGACTGGTTCTATGCTGCCCATGCTGGCCTCCAGTCCTGGGCTCAAGTGATCCTCTCTCCAGGGCCTCCCCAGTATCTGGAATGGCAGGTGCGTATTTTTTATAATATATTTCAGGTACATGTGGTTCAGTTTGGGAAAGTGTGACCGCAGCTTTTTCTTATTTTAAGTATGATCCACATAAAGAGGTCAACATTATGTCAACTGGAAATAAGGGCTTGCCCACGCTGGAAAGGATGGCTGAAAGGACTGAGTCACACAGCCAATGACTCCTGAAGGTATCCTGCTGGCCACAACAACACTGTTACTCCTACTGTCCTGTGTTTTCTGTCCTCCTTGGGGTCCACGCCCCTCGTAGTGGGAGTTTTCCAACACCACTGGTCTGGCCAGACCACCCCCCAACCCTGGGCCCTCAGTAGGCAGCTGCCTGCTGGTTACTTTAATGGAGTCCCCTGGGTATGAGGAACACCTCCATGGGTTATCTCCTTTGCAATGCAGTAGCTCTTGGGCCAGATGACTCTGCAGTGGGCTACAGTGAGGGTTGGTTTGGGGTGCTCAGCCTTACTAAGTCACGTTGCTCCTCCTGTTCTTGGAGACAGAGTCCCTGCCTTTTCACTCTGTCCCCAGCACCAGGCAGCCTCTGGGCTGAACAGGCTTTCCATGCTCAGTGCCCTGGAGGGACAGGTAAAAGGCAGCTCTTCAGGAGAACAGCCCAAGAGTTAGCACACTGACCTGGAACACAGCTGCACACTAGCGCCCTCTGCCTGTCTCAGCTCAGCAATACTGTGAAGTGGCTCCTGAGAATCTCACTGGTGACAGACTGAGGCAAAGAGCTTGAACAGATCTGGCCACTTGCCAAGCTAAGACTAACAGCAATATTCCAGACTGATATTCACTGGGCGCCAACTGTGTTCCGGGCTCAGGCTGTCCCATCTAACCCCACTCAGATCCTACAAGGTAGGCCCCAGCACAATCCTCACTTCCTACAAGAGCACCTGGGAGGGCCCTTAAGCAGCTTGGTCATACGGCACAGCTGGTAGGCTGAAGCCCCAGCCCTGAAGGAGAAGTGGAAACTCCCAGGTGATGAGGTGGGTCCTGCTTTTGAAGCTCATCTGGTGGAGTTCTCCAGAACCAAAGTCACACCATGTTCCTCCGCACCTCCATCCCCTCGCCCTCCCTGTTTTCGGCCAAGACAACCAGCAGGACTCAGCAGCAGCTCCACAGCATGAGGTTCCACCCAGGTCAAGGCTGCAGAACTGAGCCCACTCCAGGAAGGAAAGGACCCTGCATGGAGGAAGGACGGCATGGGGGGGTCCTGGATTCCTGTGACTTCCATTGGACCAATCTTCAGTGAGAAACTGAACAGCCAGCAAGTTTGCCTCAGGGAGGCCCTGGAGCCTCACTCACACCTGCCCCAGTTCAAAGGGTTGAGGCTGGGTCTGGCAGATTGGTGGGGAGGCGGACCTGATAGCACTCATTAAATATTTCCGGTCTGTGGCCTTTTCCTGTGAAGGAGGAGTAGGATTATCCCAGCACTAACACACCATGGCATTCTGTCGGGAGAATCTTTTCAACATTGTTTGAAGAATCAAAAGGATGGAATTCAATATTTCCCTCATGAAGAAGGCCAAAAGAAGGCAACAATCACTGTGCTTCCAAGAAAAAGCTCTACAGGCTCTTAGGCAGATGAGGTGTATTTCTAATTCTAATTCAAAAAGATCTCCCTTGAGAGCCCTGGGGGTAGGGGTGGGGTGTCAAAAAAAAAAAAAGTAGACTGATTTAACTAGAAGCCCTCTTGGTGGTATTTTCCCAGTTGAAGATAGGATGGCGTATCTAACTAAGGCAGTGTCAGGGGACTGTGGGTGACAGGGAGAACATTTTGTGTGTTTTACTTTTAAAGTCAGATGATGAACCATAAAGCAAGTTTTTTTTTTTTTTTTTTTTTTTTTTTTTTAAAGATAACTGGCTCCAACCCTTCAGCACCAAAGCAGTCTAGTCTAACAGGTTTCCTGAGAAATGAGCTCCAGGAACCTGGGATGAGGCCCATGTTCGTCTAAGCAGGGACATTTGTTCCAACTTCGCCAGAATCCTCAGTTCTTTTGCACCCTGTATCCAAACCCTTAAAGCAAACCAAATACTTCAGAAACACTGAAATTACTTTCACTCCACCACTTTATTACTGGAATACTTATTTGAAATTCACTTGATAAGAAATACTTTAATAAATATAACATAAATAAATATAAATTAGTTCACATGGTTTCATGAACATAAATTATATCAATAAATATCTTTAAATAAATGATGCTTGAGTGTTTCTGTAAACACCTCGGTACAGAGATAGCTTATTAATTCTTGCTCTTCTAGGAAAGGGAAAGAAAACGCCTTCAGGAAGGACTCTGTCCCTCCTTAGCAACCTGTCTAGCAGCCCGGGTAAGCAAAGGGAGCACAGAGAAGATTCCTGCAGGGGCTTAGGTACAGCCAGGTCCCCTCCCTGGCTTGACCCACTCCTTATTAAAATTTCTTTGGTGCAGACTTTTATGCAAAGGACACTAGGCTGGGAGGCCCCTCAGCTTCCTAAGAAGAATTCAGATAGCTCATCACCCTGTCGATGGTCACTGCCCGGATTCGCAGAGCGTGAAGAAGTATGCAGAGCTTGGTTTTCGTTCTATACAGATTAGGGGAAGGTGCTTCAGGGGATGGTGTCTGAGGCACAGTCTCGTTGTTGACATTCACGGCCTAGAAGGATAAATACTGAGTATGACAGATAGAATTCCAAAAGGAAAACATTCATCTGTAAAAATGGCTAAAACAGGGCCTGCGGCATGGTGCCCCCTCACTCTCCAAGCCCAACCAGACCAGAGGGCCGGGCAGACCTGAGAGAAGACACACACCTGCTCAGGCTATGCACTTTCAGTGAGCTGAGCTCGGGAGAGTTCCCTACGCTGCTCAACAGGAGTTGTTCTAGAATGGCATGATTCTGTTAACATGGCACCTGTTGCTGTATCTAACTTTTAGAGCTTACATGATGAAGCTCCTTCCTTTTTCCAACAGGGAGGTATGGATGGCTACTGATCCAGACTTTATCAGTAATTGATCTGCTTCCTGTGGAAATGCTGTCATGTAATACACAGAAACCTGGCAATGCATTTTCCTATTTTAGCCTTAGATTTGCTAACACTATACAAGATCTTACTGCATGAGGGTCAGTACTCCCACTTGCTCCTCAAAAAAGTTCTAAAAGAAAAGAAAGGTATGTACAGCCATTGCATTTGACTGAGGAGCGAGCAGCAGGGCTCAGGGATTGTGTGGTTACTCCCAAATCACCTGACTAGATCCTGAAAATGAAATATCAACTGCAACTCTCTGGTAGTAACACTCTTCTGTTGCACAAAATCATTGCCTTTCAAACAATTTCATTGTGCCCCCCCACACACACACAATGAAATACACTATGCAGCAAATGACTGCTTTTCAGAGGATGGTTTCTGCCTCTATGCCTGCAGCCTGTGCCCCGATGAGAAAGGCACTCTCCCTCTCTCTAATGTGAATGTCTCTCTATTTTGTGTTAGCATCATGGGCTACAGTGATCCAGAAATTGATGCAAGTCCTGCTGAGTGCACTGTGCATGTCTACCATTTTGTTCATATTTTTGTTCTGTCTGGGACATAGCCAGGCACCAGCTCTGCTTGCTTCCCAGGACATGTATGCAAGTATGTGTGCTTTCCCTCGCCTGCTCTTTCTGGACCCTCTGAGGGCAGGGAGAAGTGGAGTGCAGCAGAGCCCTCTGAAGGGATCCTGGCTCTGCCTCTTGCTCAGGCTGTGTGCCCTTGGATGTGTGGTTTCTGCCTCTTAAGCTTCAGCTTCTTCCTTTGTACAGAACCTCAAATGGCTGTTGTGGTGATGATGCAAGGAAATGCATGAAAACACCTGCAAACAGCTTGGCATCACCTTGTGGTGGACACGGGAGGTTTCTTTTCATAAGTGACTGCTCATGTTGGCCTTCCCTGTAGAGGGTATCCTGAAGGCCGACTCCCTGGGGATACTGCTCTGCAGGGGACTTCAAAGGGGGCTGAAGGCTTCTCTTAGTTCTCTGCAACAAGGGCCCTGGCTGGCAGGGCTCAGCATTAAAGGTGCTTCACTGATGAGACGGGGGCCTTACCTGCATCAGGTAATCCACAGCGGCCAGCAGGGCTTTATCTTCATAGATCTGTCCCTTAGGATCCATCAACAGCTTTTCATTGATGGCCTTGAGCTCCAGCTGGTACATCTTCAAGTCCTCGTAGATACTACTAAAGCACAGCGTCTGAGTGATGGCACAAAATGGGAAAAAAAAAAAAAAACCAACAACCTTTGAGATGAGCCAAGCCATCTCCGCACCCCATGCATCTGAGAAGAGTGGGGGGTCTTACCGTATTCCAGGAGGTCCTCCCCGAGGTCAGGCTGCTCCCCTTCTAGGGGAAGAAGAACCAAACATCAGCATATGAATTCACCAAGTGGGAGAAACCTTGAACTTTTTTTTTTACTTACAATTATAAAAGAGGTCTCTCTAGAAGCCAGGCAATTTTCATTCTAGAGGGGAAAAAAAGCCCATATTGAAGGTGTTAACTCTCAACAGAAATATATCTGGTATTTCACCTCAAACCTTCTATCATGGCAACATAACAAAATCTACCACCTTAACTATTTTAAACATAGAGTTCAGGGGTGTTAGGCGTATTCATGTAGTTATAAAAAACGTATCTGCTTTTATCAGATTTTTTCTGATGGGAACCAGAAGCCTGCAAGCTTTGGAAACAGTGGGGTGAGCTGCACTGGTGCTCTGGGAGGGAAGTCGCTGTACCTGGGCTAGTTCCTGGGGCAAGCAGGCCTTCACTGTGTTGGTTCTGTTCTTGGTGATATCTTCATGATTGACCTCTTCAGCACTGCAGGGATAATGCTCTAGGATTTCTATGGCCTGGGAAGAACATGAGAAGTTCAGCTGGGGTCACCGAGAAGGCCCCAGCTCCTGTGGGGCTAGCAGCCCGGGTGCCATCAAAGCTGCGGCCGGCTGCCCTGGACCTGCACCTCTCTGCACCTCTCATCCAGTGAAAGAAACAGGCAGTCAGCATCCCCCTCCCCTCCTTGTCTTCGGCTTGAGACGTGTCTCCCAGGGTCACATCTTTTTTTATTATGTAAACACTGCAAGTCATTCCAACAGGCTGTGCTAATCAGCATCCACACCACACGTTAACACTTGCTTCTGGCAAAACTGTTTTCTCTTGCCAAAGTGCCTGTATTCTAAAGACTAGCCAAAATCTCACTTGTGGTCCACACACATGCAGTCTACACAGATGGCATCCCACAGGCCCTGTTGGAAGACCCTGTTGGATGGAATCGGGCAATATGTCCTGAGAAGGCAATGACTTTCTGATTAAAGGTTGACATCACTTTCCACAATGAGCCTATGGACCAAGGACAGGGCAAAGAGAAGGATGGCATGTCCCTGTGGATTCCGAGTTCAGCTGCAGAGACAGGCATGTGCCCAGATGACCAGGAGATGTGTCAGCAGGTGAGGGCATGGAGGCTCTGGGCAGAGAGGAGAGCACTTAGCACTACAGAGGGAACCTCACGAGCCGGGATCAAGGCCAGAGAGGGCAGAACACATTTGGGTGCAAGTAGGGATGTCCCTATCTGCAGCAGGTAGACTGACGCCTCACTGCTCATCATCTGATATACACCTCCCCACCCTGGAATCTGGGAATATGCTGCATGACATGGCAGAGGAAGTAAGGCTGTAATCACCCGACCTTATAGCAGGAGAGAATCCTGGCCCAGGGTAAGCACAGGGTCCTCCAGGAGGCAGAGAGCAGAAGTGTCAACCATGAGTGACAACATGAGGAAGAATGCAAAGGCCCTGCCAGATTTTTTCTTTTTTCATAGAGCTGGGATTTGAACTCAGGGCCCACACCCCACGTCAGGCACATGCTCTGCCACTGAACTACACCCCTCAGTTCTGGTTTGGAAGGTGGAAGGGAGCCCAGCCCAGGAACTCAGCAGTTTCTAGAAACTGTGAAAGGTGAGAGACATCACGTTCTCCCCTGGAGCCTCCAGAAAGGGATGCAAGCT